TTACTCAGCTGTTTCTCCGTTTCCTATAGATAACCTGTACATCTGCTGTTTATGGGGCTATCAGAGTTCTTGGCCTGAGGCACACACTTTAGTTACCTGCACCCTGAAATGTTTTGGTCTGACTAAAGTATTTAGGCTTAATATAGGAATACTTTGGTAAATGTAATGATTATGATATACAGATCAGACTAGATGATCTCATGGTCCCTTCTGACTTCAAGCTCTATGAAATATAAAACTCTATTTAAACAAAACAAAAATCTGAAGCAAACTTACCATAACAAATGTGAACTGTTAGTGATTTACGGGACTTTAAGTGGTGTGTTAGCATTGTTCTGGCGTTCTGTGCAAAGGTGAATTTCACTCAGGGAAACTCAGGATGTTACTAAAGTTTGTAACATTAATTTTTTCCCCCTCTGAATTACTTTATTTGACTTCGCATAAAACACACACAATGTAAACATTTATTATTACTTTATAAAGAATTAAAAATATATTTTAAAAAACTGTAATGAAAATTTTTCAACACAGCTTTTATTAGCTGCACTTCTTAGCTGTGCAATTGTAAAATATATTTTGCTACCTTTACTCAAGCATAAGGTTCAAAAGGTGGAAAATGCAACATTACATTCATTCCTTGTTTTACCATAGCTGGCTCTGTAGAGTGGTCTGCAGCCACTGAAGAGAAACACACAAGAAACTTTATCTAAAAGTACAGAAAATATGAATTTGACTTTAGAAAAATGCAGCTATGGAGAATTTTAAAGCAGGAACAGACACAGCCACATGCTGTCCTTAATCTGCACAATCTTATGGTGAGATGGTAGAAGGAAGAAATGCTATAACTGCTGATACTGAACATGCCCATATGTCTTTCCTCCTTCATTTTACAAAAGAAATTTGAACAGTATTGCCTCCACAAGCATTCAAAAAAGTTCAGGCCTTCCAAAAAAAATCATTATTGATTGAAAAGAATAAAAATTTAAATAAATGTTTGGTTCTTTTTATTTGCTCTCTAATTTTTGAATCTTTAGGTTACACTATGACCAAATTTTCAAGCAACCATAGGGCTAGAAGATTTGTTTTGTTTTACGTGAAAGTTGAGATTCTCACAGTCATTTGACTCAAACAGTTGAGACTATAAGAAAAGCCTCAAATATTATGAGACTCATGAAAAAATTGCCAGAGTTGTCAGCACTGCTTCAGGGCTTAAATCTTCTCCCATTATTTATATTATTTTAATCTTATCATCTTTTTATTTACCTCCTTCATTTTCTGTTTTTTTTCCCCCTGTACATAACCCTTCAGAATTCCTCCCCATTCATGTTCTCCTTCTCCCAAACTCACATTAAAAAAAATAGTTAAGGGCATGCACTTTTCAGTCCTCATGCTCCATTGAGAAGGCACATAAGGGCGAGATGCACCTGCCATTATTCAGTTCTTCTCACCACTTCCCAGTTTAGGGACAGAGCCTCACTGTCCAAAAGACTGTTAGCCTTTCATCTGTACTTCATAGCTAATTGTTTTTTTTTACAGTTCAATTTAGTTTCTCATTTTAGTAATTTATTCATCCGGTTGCCTGTTGCAACCTTTAGTTGTTAGCATTTTTACTTGTCGCCGGGAATGGTGTCATCCAGTTCTCCTGAGTTCAAATGCTGCCACTCCTGCAAGGGAACTATTCCAGCTTCATGCGGACACTCAAAATGTCTCTAATGCTCCAGGAGAACTGCACATTCCCAGTAAATGTGCCATTTGTAATTCCTTCAGCTCCTGGACTAGGAAAGACAGGGAAGCCCACCTTCAGGTCTTCCTAATGACTAAATCCATGAGACCCATTTCTGAACTGGGCTCATTGGACCTTCACAATCCAAGAACATGAGCACAGGCTCATTGCCTTCAAGGGCCCCGGATCAAACGATGATGAGAACATCGTCCTCAGACAGACCACAAGCATCTAGAAGTTCCAAAGGTAGATCACCTACCAGGGCTTCCTCTAAGAGGAAAACCACCCCACAGTAGTGAACATCATGTGAGACTTCACAGCCCAGCCCAGTTCCTACCAAATCTCAGTCCCAGGCTAATTCTGACTGTATGGCACCAAAACGCCTGGCACTGAAATCTGGGACTTTGGGAAATAGTTTGGCATTGAGCCCAGCACCGTCTGCCTCAGTGGCCCTGGCACTGACTCTCTCAGCACCTGAATCAGGTTGATTGGGGTAGTGCACCATCATCATGACAAAGATTGTGATACTACCCTGAGAAAACTTGGTTACGGCTCACCTATACAACCCCATACAGCATTCTTCAGATGATCTGTATTGATGGACCTGCACAGATGGCACATCTGGAGCCACAGTCCCCTTTTCTGTCAACTTTAGCACTACAGTCAGCTCTGACTTTATCCACTAGGATGGCTTCATCAGCTCAAAGGCCACAGTACCACCCGGATCTGGGTTATACATTCTCTTCAGCTTTATCTTCAGACTCAGAGGGTGAGGAAGATTGATACCAGCAGCATCTTCACTCACCCAGGGCAGGTCTTCACTACAGTGGGGGGGGGGGTCGATTTAAGATACGCAAATTCAGCTACCCGAATAGCGTAGCTGAATTCGACATATCGGAGCCGACTTACCCCGCTGTGAGGACGGCGGCAAAATCGACCTCGGCGGCTCCAGTCGACGGCGCTTACTCCCACCTCCGCTGGTGGAGTAAGAGCATCGATTCGGGGATCGATTGTCGCGTCCCGACGAGATGCGATAATTCGATCCCTGAGAGATCGATTTCTACCCGCCGATTCAGGCGGGTAGTGTAGACCTAGCCCCAGATTCTCACCACAGCCCTCAACATCTTATAGAGAGTCCAGAAATTTCTCACAAGAGAGATACTGGGACCCACAGAACCTGCGTTCATGATTCCCTACACCCTGGCCACCAGGCTCTTACCCACCAATTCCCATGTTGCCCTGTTGGGGACTCTAGTTGGCTCAGAGCAATCTTGGTGTGAGTGAGCAACTGTATCACCAGAAGACTATCTGCTCCATGGCACTGCACACACAGAGATCCTAACAGTGCCCCTCCCCCTATATCCTCCCCTGGGTTCCAGTATAGCCACAAGCAAAAGAGGAAGGAATGGAAGAACAGGCACGAGGAGAAGACCTTCCGGCATTGGTAATCCTTTTCTCTTTGTCTCAGATGAGGCTGCTTTAGTGCCACCATTGGTCTCAGAAATGTCTGACTACAAGGCTATCTAAAACCTATTAAAAAGGATGGCCTAGGACCTCCAAATCCCTGTTGAGGAAGTAAAGCAGTAGACATGTAAGTTGGTGGATATACGTCAGTGTTCCTCTGCAGGAAAGCTAGCCCTCCCTGTCAGTGAGCACCATGCCAAAACCCTTTGGGAGATGCCTGCTTTGGCACTGCCTATATCTCACAATGCAAGTGCCTCCCCTACGGGTGCGGAATTATTTTACATGCACCCCTTCCTGCCGTGTGGTCACAGTGGTGCAAGAAAAGACAATTCTGGTTCACAGGTCTATTGAACCTGACAGTATCCCATCCCAGGACTTACCTCTCCTCCCAGACCTGCTGTCTCAGAACCAGAACCGATCCTACATCCAAATCTACTGTCCCTGCACCTCACAGCATGGTGACTAGATGGATGTCATCAATGCAGCAGTCTTGCTCTTCTGATAAGTAGAAGACAAAAATTCACCTGGCAAAATGGATGAGATTCTCCCACTAGTGTCACCAAAACTCACTGATTCCACATTACTCCTCGATCCTGCAGATTCTTCTCTAGTTACTTGAGCTAAAAAGAAAGAATTTGTCCCTCAGCTCTGTCAAGGTTCACTTGGCAACCATCTCAGTTTACGACCCACTGGCAGAGAATCACAGTCTTCTCATTTGATAGTGATTAGGTTTCCAAAAGACCTAATTCAAGTGTTCCTGCTTGTCAGGGAACCAATTCCCCCATGGGATTTAAACCTAGTAGTCGCAGGTAGTAATAGCTGGCAGGGTAGCAATAGGTGGGAACATTTGCTACACCTTTTCTAAAGATGTAGGAAGAGCTGCTGCTCACTACTCTCTCAATGTCCTCTGGATGCATAATGCACTGCTTCCACTTTTCCAGTGCAGATCTGCATCTAGGTATGCCAAGAACATTGGCCCCTGATTGGGGCCTCTAGACATTACTGCAAAGTAAATAATAATTGTCACAGTTTTGGGATAACTGCACCTGTGGCCCCCTCCTCTGTGGAATGCTTAAGGAATGCCCTTTCAGGTCAGAGGCCTCGAGCTGTCACCGCTCTTTGGGCTGGGACCCGCATCCCTCTCCCTTCTCACCAGGAGTTAGGCTGTAGCTCCCCGGCAATTTGTTGAGTTTATCGTGGCAGATATGACTAATATCCAGCACCTGTGCTTTGCCTTCTCTCCAAGGGTTCTGATCAATATATGTCAGTGGTTATCAGTAACCAACCAAACAACAAGGAGTCCGGTGGCACCTTAAAGACTAACAGATTTATTTGGGCATAAGCTTTCATGGGTAAAAAACCTCACTTCGCATCTAAAGAAGTGAGGATTTTTACCTACGAAAGCTTATGCCCAAATAAATCTGTTAGTCTTTAAGGTGCCACCAGACTCCTTGTTGTGTTTGTGGATACAGACTAACACGGTTACCCCCTGATACTAGTAACCAAACAGCTCTCTCAAAGAAGAGTGTATATATATTGAAGGACAGAAGCCTTACAGAGAAAATATATAACATAATAATAGGTCTAAATGCATCCTAAACATATCAGCAGTTGCCCATCTTCAATATGGATGCATCTGAATTCCACTTTTCCAGCCCATCTCTAATTAAGACTGATTAATCGTGAGTTTGTTGTTTAAATACACTTCTAATGGATGACACATGTTCAAAACAGATATTGCTTATAATGTTATTTTTTAAAATCTGAAAAGCTTATCCTGTGTTTTTTCCTTTCCCTTCCCTTCCCTTCCCAGTGCTGTGCGGAGGAGATGAGAGCTTCTTATGTGCCAGTGGAATCTGCATCCCCGGGAAACTACAATGTAATGGCTACAATGACTGTGATGACTGGAGCGATGAGGCACATTGCAGTATGTTACTTTAAACCCTTATAGTGTTTGTCTAGACAGAACACTGAGTCCATCCAGCGGAGCCTAGAAACCAAAGTCAACTACTGTAACAGGATAAGAGCTTTGCGTAGCTTGTGCATATACTCACTTCTGGCCTCTCTTTCAGGTGCCTAAGAATATGTTTGCCTTTGCCCAACCTGACCACAGAATGTCTTTGTAGACCTTTTAAAGTTTATGTTTAGAAGCTTGATTTTATTGGCAGTTGAACAGCTAAGATTTCTCCAAGGACCTATGGCGGTTGGAAGTATTATAGCACAGGGCTGTTGTTTTTTTAATTGATAAGTAACTTGCCATAAAGACCATTTTTGTAAAGAGATAACCAGGTTACGAGTTTTGAGTGTATACTGTTCTGGTACTTGGCTTTGATTCTACAGCAGATGCAAAATCATCTGCTTAGAAAGTTGTTTCTTCTCCAGCCCTGAATGTGGCTTTTATAAACAAATTTTACTATGAGGTGCCATGGAAAATGAAAATATATATGCCCATTAGGTTTCTTCATTTGTCATTTCCATTCTCCAGTGTAGAATATATTTCAAAGCTCAAACACGATCATGTTTTCTAAAACTAACCCCTATGTTCAGAGACTCTGAAAAAATGAACAGTAGACAAAACAGTGAAATAGGAAGAAAGAGGGACAGTTTTGGGGATAAGTAAATGGTGGGTGTATAGGGAAAATTATCAGAGAGTCAAATCAAAACTCTGGATTCAAATACTCCCAAACTTTGGATTAGATCTGGATTAGGATCTGAACTATGTAGTTTGGGCTCACTTTTGAAAGTCACTTGCCTCTTATGGATTCCCAGAGGGAAACTATGTGTAACATACATAAAAGTGCCTAAGTGAGTTAGGATTCTGAGTCACATTGGAAGTCCATAAATTAATGGGACTTAAATTCACAAATAATTTAGCTGCTTTGGGAAATTTTTACACATAGTTTTTATCTGGGAATCTATTAGAAGCAAGTGATGGCTGCTATCGCCTATGGGTCTCAATAGGAGTGAGACTATAGGTTGCCATACCTGTCATGTTTTTACCCTCAGTGTTAACTCCAGTTTAATTTAGAATAACATTTTCAAAAGTGCCTACATGATTTAGGAGCCTATATCCTATTGAAAGTCAATTGAAAGGTTGAGGGCATAGAAGTAATTTAACAGTTAAGCATTACAGGGATGTTGTAATTATTAAAAAAACAAGCATTACAAACTCAGAAAATTCAGAATTAAGATTAAAGTGAAAAGAAATCCAAACATGTGAAGGTATGGAAATGCACAGTTAAGGCAACCTTAACATTAACTTGCATAATGCTGTGCAATCAACATACAAATATGATTAGTGCATCAGTATTTCTAATGCTAGATTAAATTAAATTGATTTTTAAAGACACAGATTTTTTTCTATTTTCTCCCTTCGTAGTGGCACACAAGGGAGAGTTAAGGTTATTTGGTTGCCTTAACTGTGCATTGTCCCCTATTCTGACATTGAGTACACCTTCCCTGAGGGCAGCTTCGCTTTTACTCTTATTGGAATAAGTAGCTAAGGGCAGGCTGGGGCCTTGCTCTCATGGACAGCAATAACAGAGTGGCAGTCAGTTTGAAATGGAAGAACATTATATGTCAGCCCCTGCTGAATAAGAAACTTTCAATTATGAAGAATAACAGCAAAAAGTACTATTAATTCTAAAAACAAATCTTCAAATATAGTTAATGTGTGGGATTTGAATGAGTTTTAGCTATGTGGGTAGGTTGAAGAGTCTGCATTGTTCTGATGCTGAGAGGCAAAAGCATGATCAGACACAGGGTGCTGTGGGATAGAAAGAGGTTGGGCACCAGGTAATTTTTAAAATAAAATTACCTAAAGAAAACAAACAATGATCAAACTTGATAATTGGGAGAACCAACAGTTAATTACATGGAATAACTAATTAATTGCTTCTCATATGATGAATGCAGGATAATCAAAAGATGGAATTATTGATTATGATTATTAATGAGACTGCACTCAAGGAGTAACCACTTAAATTTTACAAAGAATTCTTTTCCCTATACACTAAAGGATGTCTCCAAATAAATAATTGAATGTGACTTTGAAATAAAGAAACATTTATTTAAATATCCAAAATGAAAAAAGAAACCAATTAACAATTAAATCAACAGGGATAATGCAAATAGGATACACCAGATAAAAACAGGTAAATAAAAGACGTGATACAATGTAGCAATATTTAAAGCAATATGAAATTCTAAAATATGAAGTACATTAAAACAAATAGCCATTGATAGACTTATCCTCTGTGAACTTATCTAGTTCTTTTTTGAACTCAGTTACACTTTTGGCCAGCACAACATCCCATGACAATGAGTTCCACAGGTTAATTGTGTGTGTGCACTGTGGATTTATATAGTAGCATTATGATATTTTCAGTCTTATTTTCTATCCATTTCCTAATAGTTCCTAACATTCTGTTAGCTTTTTGACCACTGCTGTGCATTGAGCTGCTGCTAAAGTGTTCTTGAAACATCATAAAGTGTTTCAATCCCTGCTTTAAGTGTAAGACAGTAACTGGAACCAAGGCCAGTGCTTTCATAATAATGAAATGTGCTAGTTACCCCAAATATTTTGATGTGTTGTTGATCAGTTGAATTATTACATGACTGATGATCTGTCTAAGAAGATAACTGAGAGGAAAAGAAAATGTGCTTTTCTCTAACTTTCTGTGCTTTAAACTAGTTTGCATAAACTAACTTAGTACTGATGTTGATATGTGGCATTCCTGTATCTAGCAGAATCCAGAACAACACCTGGGAAACTTTTTACACTGGTGTAATTTAACAATGTCCAAACTTTATTTGATCTTGGATAAGTTTGATCTGGAGTGAAGTTTGTTTTAATGCTACAACTGTAAACCTTTGGAGAGAAAAAAGGGGATTTATGGAACAGCAGATGCAGACTTAACTACAGAATCTGTGATAAGATTCTGGCTATGTTAAGTAATTTAACCAGTTGTTAAACTTCTGGCTCAACTCTGATCTCATTTACACTGGTGTAACTTCACTTCTATGGTACTGTTCTATGAAGATCAGTAGGTGGAAGCAAAGGCTTCTAGTAATGTAGATGGAGAAACAAATTTGGATCCTGATCCTTCAAACAATTAAGCACTTGCATAACTTTGCTGACAAGAGTAATCCTGTTGAAGACAATGAGATCATTCATGTGAACAAAGTTACCAACACGCTTAATGGTTTGCAGTATCAGAGTCTTGGTAGTCTTGTCTAAACCTGTTCATTTATTCCTGGCCCAGGGGAGGAGTGTTTGTCCAGAGTGTTTTCTCTGGAGTGAACAGAATGAGGCTGTGGTGACAATGATGAATAACTTGCTGTGGAAGTAGCTTTCTTTTGGTTGTACACCGTGTTGATGTATAGTAGTTCAGTTACATTGATTTGATGTACTGTAATTAAGTCAGTCCTCAGTGTGTCTAGACAGTGACACTACATAACTTCATAAAACTAAAAAAAAGATTTTTTTTCTTTGAAATGATGTAAAAGGCTGTCTGTAAATTAATTAACCAACAAACTCCATCCAGTTTCAGATCAGTAGACTTTAAAATGTAGTTAATTGTATCTTTTAAGGGGCACTGGACTGATTTAGGGTACATCTATATTTGAGCTGGGATGTGTGATTCCCAGCTCGCATAGACATATCCATGCTAGCTTTGTTTGAGCTAGCGCCTAAAAATAACAATGTGTCTACGGTGGCATGGGTGTCCGCTCAGGCTAGCTGCCCCACATACAATCCTGCCTGGGACAATCCTACCCGCTGAGGGCATGCTTGGTGTGCCGCTATTTGCAGGTGCTATCCCAAACACAGCTAGCATGGGTACGTCTACACAAGCTGGGAATCGCACCTGCTAGTGCAAATGTAGACTTACCCTTAGGTTCAAAGGGCCAAACTCTGCTGTTGTAAACTGGCACAGCTGTAGTGAAGTAAAAATATGGGATTATGTTAAAACACAATGGTTATTAAATTAAAGATGAAAAGAAATACTTTCATGAATATGTTTTGCGATTTAAATGAAAACATTTTTGTTAGTTTGTTTTAGATTTAAGCATAAGAGCATTATGATTTCTCCAGCATGAGAGAGCTGGGGAGGTCAAATTGTTGACAAACAAGTACAGCAAAATACTTATTTTTAAACAATTATGTAATCACTTCATCTAGGTTTTTTTTTAAAAATGTTCAAAACAATCATTATTTTCTCCTAATGTTTTGTTAAATTAAATAATAATTCCAAATGGCTGAAGAAATAGGGAGCTACCCATCTTGCTTGTCTGCTAACTTGTGGCTACACCTGGATTTGCTCAGGTGGACTCCTGCAACTGCATACAGCCCCATTGTTCTGCATGGGTGTAAGTGTCTGCTCAGGTGGACCGAGTTGCAGGATCTGGCCCCCTAGGGAGACAAATTCTGCTTTCCTTCCTTGCATGAAAAGTGTCATTGACTTCAAGAGGACTATTCATGTGAAGAAGGTGAGTGGGATTTAGTCCATAGTCTGTAACGAAGAAAGGGCTTCTCAGCATTTGAATGCATGGGGAAGGCTAGTGATTTTCACAGTCAAGATCTATTATTTATTATAGAACTCTTTATTAGTTCAAAGAATGTTTACAGATTTTCCATGCAAACTTTTCTAGTATGTAATAAAAGTTACCTTAAAACAACTAGGGAGTTCTTCAGTCTCTCCTGAATTAATCTACTGGTTAATACTTCCATTATTGTGGATTATGTCAGAACACAGAATGTCTTTCTGGGAAATACATTAGCAGTAAAATGGCAGCTCTCATTGAGATGTCTTTTGTTATTTGTATTGCAGTAACATCCAAAGGCCCCAATCAAGATACATTTATTTTTTTAAATAATTTATATTGCAAATGCAGGCTCATGAAATAGAGGTTATAAAAAGAATTACT